CATGAGACTGTTGTATGTGAAGAGGGACACTTTGCAAGTACTGCTGTAACATTACTCAACCTGACGTCACAGATGGACAGGTCTTGGAGACATCCAACACACACGTGAATATCTTACCAGTTAAGAATCATAGCTATAAATATTGATATAGTATTGTTTACAACAATATCATTTATACACGTTGATATAGTATTGTTGAAAACAATATCATCTATACACGTTGATATAGTATTGTTTACAACAATATCAGCTATACACGTTGATATAGTATTGTTTACAACAATATCAGCTATACATGTTGATATAGTATTGTTTACAACAATATCATCTATACACGTTGATATAGTATTGTTTAAAACAATATCAGCTATACACGTTGATATAGTATTGTTTAAAACAATATCAGCTATACACGTTGATATAGTATTGTTTAAAACAATATCATCTATACATGTTGATATAGTATTGTTTACAACAATATCAGCTATACATGTTGATATAGTATTGTTGAAAACAATATCAGCTATACACGTTGATATAGTATTGTTTACAACAATATCATCTATACACGTTGATATAGTATTGTTGAAAACAATATCAGCTATACATGTTGATAATAAATGTTGATTGAAAACAATATCAGTAATACACGTTTATAGGTTTTTATTCATGTCTGAATATAAGATATTAAGATTATAATATATATAAAGTAACAGTCATAACACTACTAGCTTTTCGTGTGATATCAACAAGTATATGAGCAGAAATATCAATAAGAAACATAAGTAACAGGATATTGCTTATTTTAAAACAGTTTTCTAAAGAGGTCACCAATAATGATGAAAATCGTGTATCCGTAGCAATGAAGATAAATTTTTTCATAATATCAAACTAATCAAACTAAACCACGTGAAGTTGTTGGTTTTAATGGAGGCAAGTCAGAATAAGCTGTTTTTACAAATGAAATAATAATCCTAATACTTAAGTTATCTGAATATCTCCTAAGTCTCTTTGGTACGTAACAATTAACAACTATTAAAGCTTAAAGTTTGTAGGAACGATTAATTAAAAATTAAAACTAAGCAATTTATAACTAAAGTTTTAGCTTTCCAATATGAACACGAATAATTAATGAAGAATCACTACATGGGTAAGGGCCCGGCATGGCCAAGTGGTTAGGTTCGAATCCCCGTCCCACCAAACACGCTCGCCCTTTCAGTCGTGGGGCGTTATAATGTGACGGCCAATCCCACAATTCGTTGGTAAAATAGTTGCCCAAGAGTAGTCTTACACTGCTAAATTAGGGATGGCTAGCGCAGATAGCCCTCGTGTAGCTTTGCGCGATATTCAAACAAATAAACAAACAAACCATGGCTAAGAATAGTGAAATATCTGAAAAACATTGTTATTTTCTTTTCCTAAGTGTTGTTAAAAAAGCATATCGTGAGGCAGAAAATCAAGTTATGTGTTGGGGTGAACAAACAAGATTTTAGCAATACATTTTGGAAACATAGTACATCTTTCTTTTATATCTGACGAAATCGCTGAAATGTTCTGAGTAAACAACCATACACCATCACTGGTGTAACTACAAAGATGCCCCCCGCACTTATTCCTAATCTCGAGAATTGTTACGTTTGTCAGGCCCTTGTGGTCCCCCACCATTACGAGGGCTAAGAGGGCTCATTTACATCTTATCTACCAGAAACCTTGGAAATCTAAAGATTTTTAAATCATCCCATCTTTACGTCTCATGGAAATTTGGAAATCTAAGGCTTTTTAAATCATCCCATCTTTACGTCTCATGAAACATTGGAAATCTAAGGCTTTTTAAATCATCCCATCTTTACGTCTCATGAAACATTGGAAATCTAAGGCTTTTTTCTAGAATATGTTTAACACGTTAAAACTTGTGTTTAGATTAGTGTCAATGATTCTAGAATATGTTTAACACGTTAAAACTTGTGTTTAGATTAGTGTCATTGATTCTAGAATATGTTTAACACGTTAAAACTTGTGTTCAGATTAATGTTCTCAGAATTCAAGCAGTTGAAATGAAAAGCTTCGCAATCTTGTTTTTCTAATCAATTTATATTTGTCAGAAAATCAGCTACATAATCTGATATTTATTTGAAAGCAAAGAAGGAGAGATAGTAAAAGGAAACGTAACATTTCTCAATCTAAAAATAAAGCATACGTTGATTTCTTGGTGTGAAAAAAGTTTCATGTAATTAGATGATTTATCATTGACACAAATCTAAACACAAGTTTTAACGTGTTAAACATATTCTAGAAGCATTGTCGATTTCTTCAAATAACGTTTTAAAGATTTTTCATAACTGATTTTGGTTTAATTTGTTTGTAGTGAAACAAAATGCTACACCCAACACAGGAGCCAAAACATGGTTGTTAGCGTTATAAGCCTTCAGACTTCTTGCTTTGTCACTAGGGGCGCCGCTTTTGGTTGATTGATTAGCAAAGTAAAACTGTTGTTGTAAAGATCATACAAGTAAATTTATATTAATTAATCTCTCCCAATTTGGTTTACGATTCGGATAATTTCACATGTTTTAGATATAATATTGATTATTTTCTAATCTTATTAAGAATGAAAACACCTGAAACTGTTATGCTCGAACTAAGCAGCTCAGTAACATGCGAATATGTTCATCAAGTCTAATATATAGTTCTTTATGCTTAGTTGAGAATCCGCTAGGTGTTAGATCAGTAACATCAATATAAAAAATACTTTTAGTGGGGCTAACTGTATTTAAGGCTGTGAACTTGAGATTTAAAAAATGTAAAAAAATTATCGTAGAAAGTTTGGATATTATGTAAAGAATAATCAACAGGTATAAAATATTTTCAGGCCTAGATTTATAAACATGAAATTACCTTGGACATAACAATTTTTTACAAGACAAGACCTACATGTGACAAAAACTCTTATTCTGGCAACAATGGCTTAAAGGTTTAACTTAGATTTGTTTGTTTGAAGTTAAGCACAAAGCTACACAAAGGGCTATCTGTGTTCTGCCCATCACGGGTATCTAAACCCGGTTTCTAGCGTTGTAAGTCCACAGATATACCGCTGTGCCAGTGGGGGACGTTTAACTCAGAAGCCATAATGTACTTGCATATATCTGTGAAAATAAATTAAAGATTGTGTAAATATTTCCTATTTTTTCCACCAGGTGGAATCACGCAAACACTTACAGTTTGAAACTGGTCATCGCAGGCTTACCATAAGGACGAGTGAAGACAACTGATAAACAGGAAAACTGAAATATACACCGGGAAAAAAGTTAAGC